TGTTTCCCTACTTCAGGGACGTTACAAGTAAAAATTGTCATAGGAGAATCACAAGAACAAGGGAAACTCAGACGAAAACCAATAACCTTGCGTAATCTTCGACACAGATCTGGGTTGCGATTTCTCATTGCCTCTTGAATCTCAAGCTGAAATTAATCAAATATAAACATACTTTACATATATAAATATATGTTTTATTTTATATTTATATTTATATAAACACACTTTACCAAACAAACCCAGCCTCGGATCAATTTGAAATAATATAAATTTCTGCACTTTTTATATAGATCTGAAATATCACATTCAAACCTAGAGACTGGCAAATTTTAGGAAGATCGACTGCATATTTCCCAAAAATTTTACGAAAGTCATACAAACAATTCCGATCAACTTCGTGGCATTTCCGAATATTGCCGAAAAGTTCCGCAAATCTCCGAAATTTCCGAGGCAGATCAGACAACCTGCTGATGGATGCTACTGGCAAGTCTCGGGTGTTTGACGACTAGGAACGTAATGCGTTGTAAGCATACACATTCACAAGGCATCAACATCAACAAAGCCGATGAATACATCAAAGCATACCACTGAAACATTTTAGCAACAACAAATTATCGTACGGCTGTTTTTCTTAAGTTATACTTACCCCAGATTTTTCGAATGGATATTCCAACAACTCTGTTAAAACCTACAGATGATAATGACTCACCTGCGTTTTACGTCATTACTACAATAAATTCTTGGTTTTCACGAGAGGTCATCGGCGCCATATTGGATGAAATTAACAAAAGATTTCTAACTAACTTCTTTTATTTGTGTCATCCAATATGACCATCACGTCTTTGTCGTTAGAATTTCTCGGGATTGGTTGCAAACCATGAATAAAGATCAAGAGGGTTCTAATAAAGCTACGACATAACTCATCCATCCATCCGCTCAACTGAAATATTTGAATTATGAAGTGAGAGGCGTATTGCTACTCCTCCCTGGCAGGGACGCTCAGTACATTGTGGTTTGCTTCCAATTTTTTGTCAGGCAACTCAACATGTGCCATTTGAAGGTTCTGTAAGAGGAAAGTGTCCTGCCCAAGAACACACCACCTCCCCAGCTCGATCCGCAGTCCAACACGCCTGCAATTAGAACATCCCATCACCAAATCAAATCAAATCAAATCAAATCAAATCAAGTCAAATCTTTATTCACACTCTTTTGATTACATAAAAAAATAAGATACAGAAAGCAGTAGAAAACAAATCTACGTTATAACACAAAGAGATATATGAGTTTTAAATACGTGTGCAGCAGCCAAAGCGGCAGAGCTTTCAAGTTGGCTGCCTCTTACTCACAGATAAAGGAAAGGCAAAGAAAAGGTAAATATAATTTACACTGAACTAATACATAGGATAAAAAGAAGTTACAAAAACTAAAAGAAAATTGTACGTTATACAGTGTACAATCCTTTGTT